GTGTTTGTGTGTGTGTGTGTGTGTGTGTGTGTGTGTGTGTGTGATTGAGTGTGTTCAGTAAACGTTTCAGCGAATTTGTCTGTGGACACAAGGGTACTCTCAGAAACAAGGCCCAGAATTTCAAGCAACACAAAAAGTCGTAGACGTGATAAAAGCGATCAGTTGTTTGGAGAGAGCAGTTGTGTGAGAACAGTTATTTTAGTCACAAGTGCGTTCTGTCCTGAATATTTAGTGCATGTTTGCTTGTTCTCCTAGCATCAGCAGTGTAGGGATTTTGGAGTCCTTTCCACTGTGTGCTGTGATGACTTACCCAAGGATGAACCTGCCAGGAATGATAAAAACGCTCTTCTAGCAGAACACAGCTAGTAAATGTGTCTCTCTCTTGTGTCTGACTCTGTTCCCATGGCTACAGTACTTGTATGATGGGATGGAGATGAGTAGCCTCCCTGTGGATCTGACGGTCATCTGGAACGGAGACTTCAGCATTGACAACCCGGCCCAAAACAAAGGTGAGGCCTCTGATCCGGCAGCCCTGCTAGTACCCCTGGATTCAGTCTCCATAGCAACAGACTTGCAGCATCCATCCCCTGACATCCTGGTGGAGTTGACTGCTGATAGCCCCTGTTTTTGCTTAACTTCTTCCTCATCTCTTAATTTCTGTCTTTTTTGACCTTCTGTTTAACTAAATATATCACAATATCTCATGTTCACACCTCTCATCTTCCTGTGTGTATATTTTTGCACCACATAGAAGGTCAGAGACATTTTGTAGCAATTAGATCTACTGGTAACACTTTAGAATAATGGTCCGTTGTTAACAAGTAACAAAAACACGTTAACTCCTCAGTAATTACTCACAAGTAAATTAATAAGTTATTTAACATACTGTACAGTCATGCATTTGTGTGAAGCACTAGTGATATTTTACCAGTAGGTCTTTTGGAGTGGGATACATTGATACTGAACTGACACGAAGCCGAGATCATAATTGTGAACTAATTCAATCATGAGCTTGTCAGCATCACTTCTTAATTATTAACATTTTTAAATGAATTTTCATTTTTATTATTATTCTATGTTTAAGTTTGAACATCCATCCTTTCGTAAGAGTAGTAGTCACAATTTTAAAATGTAGCCGACTTACTTGGGGGATATCAAATTCATAAATTAGTTTCCACAAAGAACCCAACTGTTCACTTTTAAGACGTTACTGTTGTGGTTAGTAATTAATTGGTTATTCTTTATTAACTGGTCATAGTTCACAAGTAGTTCTCAATGAGGATATTTTTATTTAATAATTATCAAATATCTAATAAGGAACTACCTTTGTCCTAAATTTGCTACTACTTACTGCTTAGTTAATCTTGCTCCTCTATTAGTTAATAGTATTAAGTTAAGTGTTAATGTAGTACTACTTATTACTTCCTGCATAGTTACTTGTTAACAACGGACCATTATTCTAAAGTGTTACCGATCTACCATAGTCTTTCAAATTGACCTGTGTGTGTACCCACCTGTTAGACAGCCAGTCGGAGACCTATAGTCAGAGTCAGCTGTTGTTTGGCCAACAAACACCCTCTACAGAGAGGAAGAGAGATATAATAATGACAACTAAATATAATGAATTAAACTCAACCCAGTACAAGCTGAAATCGATTATGAAACCTTGAATAATTTTCACCCTAGTCTCAGACATCACACCCATGGACTGTTGGCTGAATATCTGATGCATAAATTACACAAAATGGGAAATACTTTGGGAGTTTCAAAGTCTTCATCTGATTGGTTGAATTGAACACTAGATTTTCAAACATATGTGAAGTTCACGGCATAGATTCTTGACCACTGAAGACAACATTCTTGAATTAATGATTTATTTGTTGCACGCCAATATGTTATCTCAGCTTTACATTTTCACACCCCTAAACATGAAGCTAAACAAAACTAACTGTGATTGGTTGCTTTACCTGTCAGTCAGGTGGCCTCTTGGACAGTCCTTGGCAAATTAAAGCTGATTCATTAACCAATTAAAGAGTCCAGAACTTCTGCAATTATTCTGTAATTATTATTGTAATATTATAATTTATGTGAACAATATATGTAGTATTATTTAATTATATAATATTTTTTGGTCAGATTTTTGCTTAAAACTATTTTCCAGTGGGGTAAGAAAAATAAACTTAATCCATGGTATCACATCTTAATATGTTATGCAGTTTTGCTTCTCAAGTGATTTTCATCAAGTGAATGTTTAGATAGTTTAACTGGAAAACAAGACAAAAATACTGATTAAGAAAATGATTTTTTGCACTTAAAAAGATGCTCTGGCCATTAAAGGAATATTCAGACTAATTGCAGAGGCAGTTTGAGCCTTCAAAGATTTTTAAACATGTATGCTCAATGTCAAGACAAGAAGAACATTTTCATTGATATAAAATGGGATTTGGACATGCCATTGCTTTAATCCAAATCAATGAACAGTTCGAATTTGTGTGAGTGTTATTAAAGCGCTGTGTGTGTGTGTGTGTGTCTGTGGGAAGGTTAGGCTAATTTAAGAGGGGAAGTAAAGTGTGTGAGAATTCTCCCTCGTCTCCCGCTAAGGGGGAAACACTCAGGGGGCAGCAGTTGATGGACAGATCATACAAGCATCTAATAGCAATTAAAAATGCCTTTTTGGTTGCCATGGAGATTAAACATAATATTGTTGTACCAGGGAGAGGAGGAGATGAGCAGTTATCTTCACAGCCGAGAGGAAGCAAGTGAATAGGGATTATATGATTTCTATTCTATATTCTATAGTACTTCAAGCCATTGCTGCAAATTACATCAGTATTCATTTTGCTTTGATTGATGCCCAATGGGTTTCCCAACCTAACTTGCCCTTTGCCCTCCCTGTATCCCCAGTGCACCTATACAAGTGTGACGCACGGCGGGAGAGCTGTGGACTCTGTCTGAAGGCAGACCCTCTGTTCGGCTGTGTGTGGTGTAAGGGAGAGAACCGTTGCTCTCTGAAACAGCACTGTCCTCACCCGCAGAGCATGTGGCTCGAGCACAATGGCATCAATAGCAAGTGCACGCACCCCAGAATCACAAAGGTAAAACTGTGCACCAGTCCACACACAAAAATAGACCGTAGCACAGAGTCCAAAAGTCTGAGATCACTAGTGGAAACACTTCTATTTTTCAGTTTTCTGATTTAATGTTTTTTAATCTAATTCATTTTACTTCACTTTTAATTATTATTTTTTTGTATCGAAGCTTTTCAATGTGGTCTCAATGTATACAGTATATATAGGTCACTACCCATGACATTGGGGGTCTTTCCCAGGGCCGGGCTTGTACATTTACGACTGTTTAGAGGTGAAAAGATTCTCAAAGGTGAACTATAATTGCTGATACATTTTTTTATTTAGAGTTAAGCTTATACTATCAGTTAAATCTTAAATTTCTGGGTTTTTGTCATTCTCATTATAATATTATGTTCCGCAGGTACAATAGGACTCTGGTAAACATAAATAGACGTGACAGAAATGCTCAGTTGTACTCACTGACATATGCATGTTTTATGGTTAACCATCATTGTGAAGATGAACAGTTGATATAAACTGAAATAAAGCAAAGGAGGAACAGATGGGTGCATTGCTGAAAGAGATATGATGGAAGTGTGACCTTGGGCAGAATACTGAGGGAAGAAGAATAGCAAGAAAGTGGAAGGATGGAGACGAGGAAGAACATTGAAGCCTCTGCACCACCAACTCCATCTGTAGCGCCCCATCAAATTGATTGATAAACATATAGCGGAAAGGGAACGCTACCTGTTTGAGTGCCACAGGCTCTGAATGACGAACAGTTGTGTCTGAAGCTTGTTAATCAAACTCAGAAACTTGTTGGCACGAGGAACAGCTCATTCACAGAAAAATTATAAAAAAGTACTGGAATGAAAGTATGGAATGAAGTAGATAAGCCGTAGTAAGCCAATGAGATCACTGCTCAAAATCTTTGTACGCATCTGAATATGTTTGAAAATCGCATGTGTAAAAATCTATTAGAAAAGTAAAAGCATGCCTATCCTGAACAAGCTGCACAATTATTAATGTCTGTAGTATAAACTGTAATTTATGCAGTAAAGTTTAATACTTAGAGCACTAATTATATCCTAAAATCCAGTTCATTCTGCAAATGTACCTAGATTTTTACAACCTTACAGTCTGTAGTAGTCTGTAGTTGGTCACCACCACTTTAAACAATCACTTCAGTGCTTTGTTTGATCATAGCTGAGGTTCTAATTGGCAATTAACACATTGAAAGATTGAAATGGAAGTAAGCCAAATGGAGCTGTGGGTATTGTGAAGGGAAGTCTTGGACTGAGCTCCTCTATTTTTATTCCATCTCCAGATCCGAGCTTTCCTCATGTCTCATAAATACTCTCACTCTCTCTGATTATCACTCTCGGCGTCTTTCTTTCAATTGATCGGCTCACAGGTCGTAATGTATTCTAATGCACTATTACTGTGACATTGTAGATGAGGAATCTTTCACTGACATTGAAGTAGTGATTCAATATTTTTCTTCCCACAACCGTTAATTAGCTTGTCAAAGTCACAAATCTAATCAATTCCCCATCTCCTAATGAAAAGAGACTACTCTGTTTCTCTCTCCTGCTCATACTCATTTACACTCCTGCTTCATTCTCTCAGCGGAAGGTTGCAATTTTACAATGACTTTCCAGTAAAGTATGAAAGTGGGTCTGTTATTTCATTTTAAATAATCATTTGGTGTATCTTAAAACTCAAAGTGGTCCCGAAAAGCTATAAGTCCCTAAGGCCATTGTACTATCAAAGACATTGATAGTATCTTAGAAGAGGAAGACTATGATTAAACTGGATTACTGGAGAGATAAATTATGATAGCACTATAATGTTCCTTAAAATGCTTTGTCCAGACAGGGTGTGTTCACACTGGCATGTTTAAAATTTAAACACACAGTCAGAGCCTTTGGGATATCAATATTCCCACAGTACTCTGAAGCCAATAAAGAAACTGTGAAAAACTTGAAGCTCTCCGCTACGATCAGTGCAAGTGATGGGTTAAAGGGAAATTACCTCTCACCAGGCTGCTAATGAGATCTCTGACCTAAAGTTGGATCATTGTCTGGTAGGAAATAATGACAGAGCCGGGATGTTAACATGTCTATATTCCCCTTTGGGATCCAACGGTCCCTCGTTTTGCCAAGATGAGGAATGAGTGTCCTACATTTGGCCTAATAGCCCAGCTGTCAATACACTTATGAGGCCCGACCTCAGACAAGTGCGTCCAGACTGTCAGAATATGTTTGATAGGCTCTTTTTATAGTGTTGAAGGATAGTCACTCAATAAAAGAGCTGTTCATCTTGTGTGGTTTCAGCTAAACACTGACCTTTGTTATTCACAAGTACATTTATTCACAAATGCATTGTGGGAATGAATTGCATGCTAGCTTTACTCCTCTTTCTTTCCCTCCCCCACATTTCAGTAGGTTAGGGTTTCCAGAGGAATCGTACACCAGTTTTTATTTTATTTATTATTTAAACTGTTATAAACCCACTGATCAGAATCAGAGTTAGAAGAATGGTTTATTCTGATTGGATGGCTGGGTCTGTTATGACTATATGGATCTTGCTTATGGCATTTAATAATATCTTCACTGAGCAGACATAACTCTGTCTTCATTTGACATCACAAGATATGTTTTATGGCACATGAATTGCCAATTAAATTAAGTGTGATTTCTTTTTAGTCGCTACATTTTAATGCACCATAAATGCCTTCCTTTAAGGGTTTAATGGATCGGCAGCCAAGTGTTTCTTGTGTTAATTGTATAACACCAGCAAAAGCATGAAGATGCGAGTGATAGCACCGTGCGAGTGCATTACAGATACGTTAGCTCTAATCAGGCGGATTTGGTACTGCTTAGCATCCCTAGGAGCAAAGAATAAAAGGTGTTTGATCGCCTGACATGCACAGATGAAAACAAGCATCCTCGTGCACGCTTGTGTTTATATTCCAATCTTAGCAGCATATGATTTTACATGCTGGTGTCGGCATATTTTCTCCCAGACGCCAACTCTGTGTTCATAAATTAGCATGGCTTTGTTTTTGCTATAGGCAGGACTCGGCTGGCTCAGCTGGCTGTGCGGCTGATCATTATTCACCATAAGCACGCAGGCTTTGCTGCTCTGACAGAGAGCGGCCCAATTATCTCACTGAACCAAATCACTCACAGCTTCTCTCGCTGTCGCCCGCCCCTCACACTGTCTCACAATCACTGACTCCTGCAGGTTCATGAAGGAATCGCTAAGTCATTCTGCACTTCCTGTTGGTTCGTACCAACGATGAAGATGCCAGGGGGTGTGAGAGTTCTCCATGTTGTTTCTTATTTCATGGGAATGATCACACTTCCTTATGTCTGTATGGTGACTTGTCTACAGATCACCCCACTTCGAGGGCCGCGTGAAGGTGGAACACTGGTGACTATTCGTGGCGAGAACCTGGGACTGGAGTTCAGTGAGATTAAGGACTATGTGAAGGTTGCAGATGTGGAATGTACGCCAGTACCCGAGGGATATGTACCAGCAGAACAGTAAGTGTCTAAATTTAGGAACACTTTACAAAACACTTTTTATTTATAGCACTTTCAGGGTTTACTATTGTACCAGGCCAGATTTGACATTTAAAATTTTTAACCTGGATTTAATGACTATCTGTGCTAAATGATGTCAACCTCCCTTGAATTGCCTTAATAGATTTGTTTTTAGTCTCTAAACATTTGTTCTTTACAGACGCAGCCTGAGTTAGCATAATGCAGGCCTGATAAATGTTGCCAAGAACGCTGCGTCTTTTAAAAGTGCCTGATATGGATTGGCAGTAAACACAGAGAACGCATTAAAGAAACTTTTTAATCTGAGGTCAGGCCAGCAAAAGATAATTATGCGTTATTTGGCAAGCATTTGAGAAAGCCCTGCTGACAGCTTGAAAAATTCTCCAGTATTATTGTCCTGACCTGAAAAACCCTCTTTTTTATTCTGAATTTCTCTGCTGCAGGTTGCGGCAGCACAAGTTTATTATTATTATTATTTGGACGCAGTGATTAGCTTCTTATTGTGATGCATGAGAAAGTTTGATACCTGTCATGGAACGAGGAGGCAGATTAACTCATTCATATTAACCTATATGATCTCATGCCTATATTATTATGGCAGAGACAGACATTAAAGTATCTCGTGTAAAGTTTCATAAATGGTTTGCTTGTTATTGTGGAACTGTTCTGGTCGACTGATTGCGTATGTGTGTGTTTTACAGGATTGTGTGCAAAATGGGAAAAGCGGAAAGAAGCCAATTTGCTGGAAATGTCCAAGTGTGCGTTGGAGAGTGTCATCCCGATTTCATGGCCAAGTCGTCTAAGTACTACTACTTTGTGGTGAGTACCTCAGCAAATCACTGGCTGTAAAATAACCCCAAATGAACTGCTGGTCTGTCTACTATGTTCTGAATCATGTCTGTATAAATACAAGTCTTTGCCACTTCAGGGTTTAAAGTGCTTGGATTTACTGTTGTGTCTCTAATAAAGAGTGAACACTTTGGCCATGTAGCCCTGCTGATGTACTTAGTCATATCAGCGGGCACTTGACCCCACCAAGTGTTCAGTCAACACCCAGAGAGGCTAACCATAAAACTTGCATTTTACTGCTGCTGTTGTGTAAGATTGTTTCCTCCCACAGAATCTTTTCCCCCTTTGCACAGGCATTATTGCGCTTATTTTCATAATGTAATTTACTTAATATTTCCCTTGATAGGGATCTTGATTTACTAAAACGGTGAATAAACAAATGTATGCTTGAAGTTAGCTATAGAAAATAGTGTATACATAAACTCATGCTAAGATAGAAGAATAAGGGTATTCTAAGCCAATATGCTTACCAACTGAGAAAAAACTAAGAAGAATCGTTAGTTTAGCATTTATTGTTTCGGTTATACAATGCAAGACATTCATCAGCATATTTATATGGTTGAGACCACATACATAAAGCGATTTTGTAGGATTTTTCGGATCAAAAAAGGTCTTTTAGCCAATAGGATTCCGTGTTTGATAGGATTTTGCATGACACTGGCCTCACTCATTTTTATATCCATCCTACACTTTTCTCTTGCTTCTAGTACTCCCAGCGCACATGCTGATATAACACCCATAATCAGATTGCGATCCAGCCATCCAAATGATTTGAGCTGCAGTGTAATTTTTCCAGTTATATAGCATTTTATAGCATGTTTTATGCAAACATGAATAGCTTTTATGTTAATAGCTTCAGATAGTAGTAATTGGATTATGTGATTCCTGGGTGAGGAGGGCAATTGGTGTTCTGAGAAAAGGAGGTGATAATCAGATTGGGAAAAAGATACAGAGGAAAGAAAAACATGAGGGATTGCTGCCTCACCTCTGTCATGTGATGTGTGTGCTTGTAAATAATTCCCATTGTTTTTTTTACCTTGATTTCTACAGATCCCTAGATTGTCGAGTTTAAAGCCAAACCGAGGGCCAGTATCTGGGGGCACCATAGTTAACATGACCGGCAGCAACCTGGACGCGGGCAGCAATGTGTCAATCATGTTCAAAGACCAGAAGTGCACCTATCAAAGGTAGGGTTGAATGGAAAGGTATAGAGCATTGCCCTTTGAGATGTCATCATCCTTTTTGGTTAGTTTGCCGGTTATTCAAAGCCTCTGGCAGATTCAAACCACCAAAGAAATTCAATACTGATCTTAAGAGCTTGAGAGCTTCTGATCTTTAATCAATAACATCAATAGCCATCACTCTAGTCTTGCATCAGGTACAACCACAGTGTCTGATCATTTGAGCAGAAGATTAAATTAGGTCTAGTATGCTGAATACTCTATACAGCCACATAAAACCAACAAAACCAAATCTTTAATAATACAAAACCAATTAACTTAACCAATTCCTAAAGCAGGTACCAATACACTTATAATGATGACAAAGGAGGAGAGACAATTTAACCTTTCGATTTTTTTTTAATTGAAAGGTTAATTTCGTTTTAAGCTTTCAAATATAAAAAAAAAATGCAAAGAACATCTATTCATACACTATTTATTTTCTTTGATGAAACAGGAGAGGAGGACAGTGGATAACATGTCGTTCTCACGCCTCCATGCAAGGCTACGGAAATGTGTCTGTATCAGTGTTTGTGGATAAAGCCCACATTCACAAAGATCTCAAGTTTGAGTATGTGGAGGACCCCACTATCACCAAACTTGAACCCGAATGGAGCATTTTCAGGTGTGTGTGCACTACAAAGCCAGTTAAGATGGGGCTGTTGGGGAAACAACCCATAACGTTGCCCCAGAACCTGCGATGAGGGTGGAGGATCAAGAATATTATTTCTATATATAATTTTTAATTTGTTCAAATTAAATATCATTGGTTAAAAGTCAATGTGTTGTTGATTTTAAACTAAAAAATATTATCTTACGATTATTGTAAGGAACTGCACAAAGTGAAAGTTAACAAATATGGTCTTGTTTTCACAGTGGCAACACACCAGTGACTGTGACTGGGACAAACCTGGACATCATCCAGACTCCTCTCATCAGAGCCAAGTATAAGAACTTGGAGACGGTCAACGTAAGTGCAAACGTTTTCCACAGTAAACGATCACTCGGCCTTCACCTAACCTGAGGCTAGTGAACTGGAATGACCATTAGCAGACTATTCCCCCTGCTCCAATCACCTATGTCGGCTGCGCACCATTGGATCCAGGACAGTAGCTGCATAAAAGAAGGAAATAAGGAAAGAGAGCGAGACAAAGAAACAGACAGAGAACAGGAAAACTGCCAGGTCTCCGCAGCAGTGGCAGCAATGTTCCCTTTGTGCGGGAAAGAGGAGAATGCCGTAACACAGGGTGGATGCATAGACAAGGGTATCATGTTCCCCGTCTTTAGAATGGACCCACAGAGCCATGGGAGGCTGCACTCAGTGAGATCTGATTGAAAGGCAACAGAGACAAAAGATCGTAATGTTATCTTGTGCACGTATCTCACACATGGCCGTGTTTAGCATCTGGGCTGCGATATGATTAGGCTTTGACACACTGCTCCTCAAAGCACAGCAGAAAAAAAGTCATACCCTACTTCGCAGTCTTTGAATGAAGTTGTTTGTTGGGCACAAGACGTCTCATATCCTTGTTTGTAATGCGATCGCTCATAACTAGTCTGAAACGAGTTTGACCAGATTTTGTGCTCTGAAAAATATGGTGACCTGAAATCAATTTTATCTTGAACAGTTCCACCTGTTACGAACTTCTATAGAAGTCTTTGTGTTAGAGGAAGTGAAGGTTCAACTGCCTGGCTGCTACAGCTTTGTGAGGAATCCAATTAAAATGACTGGAGATATCTGTAGGGATGTTTTTGATGGCGAGTCTGCTGTCTGGGTTTTTTAACAGCCAACTGCAAAGCAGTGTGGGTTCACAAAACTCAAGGGTCTTGTCTGGCTTTTATTTATACACTTGAAAGTGAAAGTATATATAGGTTTGATTAAACCTATGCCATAACTTTACATTTAATAAACATGACCTGTTAATAAGAAAAGTAAAAGAACTGGGCTGAAAAACACTGACTTCCTGTAAATAATGATGTGTACAGAATCAAATTAAGTACTTAAAGGCCTGACAACCGCATTGAGCTGCAGTGTGTATGTGACCTATGTGAGAGAAGGAAGAGAGATGAACACAGACAGAGAGTCAAGGAGAGATGACAATGTCAAATCTCTCTCAGGGAAGCAAAGATAAAGCGCAGTTAGTTATCCGTTGGTGAGTCACCAGCACTGCAGGCACAATCAAAGTGTGGCCATTTTAAAAGTGCTAATAATTTAGTGCTGCTTTTAGTTGAGACAAATTATATGTCATTCATATCTATATATGAACCTGTTTTGTAGGAAGTTGAAGTTAAATCCAGGTCTTTTTATCTGGGCATAACTGATTAAAACAGCCTTAATTTGAATTATTGTTTGTAATGTAAATGCAGTATAGTTGTAATCTGAATCTAAATGTTTCTGTTTTATTCTGAATTGCACATGGACTGCAAATGACTTATTGAACATTCAGTGTTATCTATTTTCCCCTACCAGATATGTCAGGTTCTGAGTCCCACCACTATGCAGTGCATGGCGCCAGAGCTTCCTTACAGTCTAAGCAGGCAGAAGGAAGTGCCAGAGAGACCTGATGAGTTTGGCTTCATCCTGGACAATGTTCAGTCTGTGCTGGCCCTCAACAACACCAACTTTATCTACTACCCAAATCCAGTGTTTGAACCGCTCAGTGTGTCTGGGGTCCAGGAACTCAAGCCAGGGTCTCCCATCATTCTCAAAGTAAATCAAACATTTACCTAAATCTCAGCATTGTTGGTCTTTTGATTGTCTATTGCAGTCGCTACATTTTGTGAATGTGAATTGCAGGGTAGAAACTTCCTCCCTCCAGCCCCGGGTGGCAACGGGAAACTGAACTACACTGTTCTGATTGGAGACAAACCTTGCACCTTAACTGTATCAGATACTCAACTGCTATGCGAATCGCCCAATCTGACTGGACGCCACAAGGTTCTGGTAAGTTGCTGAATATTGGGGCTCATATCCCCTTTTCACCATGAACTAATGCTTTGGGGACTTTGCGGTTATTGAACTTTCCGAAAGACTGACAGAGAAATAGAAAATACATCCCCAATAAGACTTATTAGAGCTGAAAACCCTAACAAAACCTTTTTTTTCTCAATGGGTACTCTGGGTGGCTGCTTGTTTCACTGCCTGCTTGTTGACAGTCGTAAAAGAGAAAGTGCCACAGACCTTTACAGCCATGAACTCACAAAAGGAATAGGGATGCGCCGATCCGATATTCATATCGGGTATCGGCTCCGATACTGCCATTTTTTGTCGGATCGGGTATCGGTCAGAGAGGGCCGATCCAAATCCGAGATTGTGCGTATTATTCTGTGTTACTTCTGAAGCCATATGAAAGCTTAAAGGGTTACTCCACCCCAAAATGAAAATTTTATCATTAATCACTTACCCCCATGTCGTTCCAAACCCGTAAAAGCTTCGTTCGTCTTCGGAACACAATTTAAGATATTTTGGATGAAAACCGGGAGGCTTGTGACTGTCCCATTGACTGCCAAGTAAATTACACATTCGTCTCCTCTGTGTCTCTCCGCATCACCGTAGCACCATTTTGGAGAATATCCACTGAATGCAAGCAGCGTACGCTCTTCTATTTCAGCCGCGCTGCACGGATGCACTGTTTTCAGTCAAATCAAAGCGTAAATACATGTAGAAACCGTATACCTTTAATGTGAGCTATATATGAATATTTAAGTCCTTACATTAAAGTTCACACAAACTCTTTTCTCCGCTGTGGCGGTCAGTCATACGTTCAGCCTTTAAACCCTGGTCGCATTCGGTTACAACAGTCAGCTCGGTAAAGCTCTCTCCAAGATCATTCTGTGTTCCCTGCCGAATTATCCACTAACCTAGTTTATGATATATTTTTGTCATAGATTATGAATATACATATATTTTTTAATATTTATTGTTTATTTTTCTTTATAATGAAGTAGTCTGTATTTAGTAGATTGTGAAATAATGATTATCAGTTCCACACACAGAGATATATAAATTCTACATTTATTTAAATGGAAAAAAAAAAAACTTCACTGGTATCGGATCGGTATCGTTATCGATCAATACTGAACCCTAGGTATCAGAATCGGTATCGGAGGTGAAAAAGGCAGATCGGAGCATCCCTAAAAAGGAATAGACACATTGTTCCCCTCTGCTGTTGGGGCATTGGCCTTACTATGACACAATGACATCAAATAAAATATAATTTTTAGATGTAAATCTTTAGATGTATTTTGATCTTCTTCGAATGGTTGCTCAAGTTACTGACTACCAGACTTAGCTACCAGACTTTACCTACTACAAAGTATTGGTTTCATTCAAATCTTCACAAAATGTGCTCCATTTTAGGCCCGTGTTGGTGGCATTGAGTTTTCGCCAGGTGTGGTCCACATCACCTCTGACAGCCCCCTCAGCAGCACCGCCGTTATTAGCATTGCTGGGGCAGGAGGCCTCCTCATCTTCTTCATCGTCATTGTCCTCATTGCCTATAAGCGCAAATCCCGTGAGAGTGACCTCACTCTCAAGCGCCTGCAGATGCAGATGGACAACCTGGAGTCCAGAGTAGCCTTGGAGTGTAAAGAAGGTAAGTAGTCGGGAAGTGGTTTAAAAAAGTGATGTCACTCCAGATTATTAGTCAGAATTTGCTCAAATTTTTACAATCCAGTAAACAAAAATCAGAAAACTTCATAAACTGCCTTTGCAACATTTGTAAGACATACACATAGTATGTAGTTTGGTGATCTCAGCCTATTTGTTCTTCATGTTTTCAATCTTCCACAGCATTTGCAGAGCTGCAGACAGACATTCATGAGTTGACCAGCGACCTGGACGGAGCTGGTATTCCATTCTTGGACTATCGCACATACACCATGCGAGTTTTGTTCCCTGGCATCGAAGAGCACCCTGTCCTTAGAGACCTGGAGGTAACCTAACAATTTTATTGATGCAAACATGTTTTGTGAAATAACACATTTGCATCCAAAGGGCCCTTTACTGAGTTTCTGAGATGGTCCTGAAAATATTTGCATATTCATATATATGCATGTAATTACTGCACATTGTACTTGTGTGAGGAACAGTCACAATAATGGCTGCTAAGTATATATTTTTTTCTTTCTGTTTTTCGATTCTGAAGGAATAACAGCACAGTGGGGTTGTTGGGAATTAAAGCTGTCACTATGCTGTTTGTGTTTACCCTCAGTAAACAAAAGGCAGCAGCTCTCATTATAATCTACATGCATGCTCTTTCTCTCTCTCTCTCTCTCTCTCCCTCTGGCTCATTTTTTTCTTAAAGTAATGAGCTGCTCTCTGATTCACAATCAGTCTTTCATTAATAACAGTAATGACATGCGACTCGACAGTTTTTTTTTTCAGAGTGTGGAGAACAGAATTAAAATCTAACACAGGGTACAACAAGCTACGGGTTATTTACGCCCTGCTATGACAGTGATGGACAGTTTTAATTGTATCACACACATTTTTTCAGCCAACATACGAGACATACCTTACCTGCTTATGCCAGCTGAGCTCTGGTTCTAATCAGCTATATCAATTAAGACTTAATTGGAATAAACGTCCCCTCTCTCTGGAAAAGTTTATTGTAAAATCACAGCTAATGACAGGAGCCGTCTCGAGATTCTGACAGGTGTTTAATGATTATTGATGAGGCAAATAACATCAAATGATGTCATGAGGTCTCTGCATGGTTAAGTGTTTGTCATCGGGTATCCTAAGAGCACAATGAATGCATCTTAACCCAGTGAGCAGCTTTTATTACATGTAAACTGTTCATTTGTATCCTGGTTTGTTTGGCTTTAGGTTTGTTTTTTATTTGTTTAATGTGTTTGGTTCTCTTCTGTTTAAATGCCTGTGGGTGTTTCATTGGACACTAGCAGAGGATGCCGTAGGCCATATGAGAGGATTGAAAAAGCTTTTCAGTCAGTTAAGCCAAGCTGAAGTTTAAGTGAGCATTCTTAAACATGACAAAAATAACATTTGACAGTTGTCTTGAGTTGCTTAGTTATGAAGTGAAGGCTACTTAAAGTCGACATGAAATATGTCATTATTGGATGCATTTCTGATTGAAACGGGACATTCAATGAGAGAAAAAAATGTAGAGTAGGACTTGATTTTAATTTATCAAACAATAATAATAAATGTAACAATTGAAATAAAACGACTTGCACTAATAAATTGTGCAAAATAAGAATGTGTTGTTTTAAAACAAATGGTGTCAATTTTGATTATTTATTTAATAAATATGCTGATGAATTATCACATTCAGGTTGTGAAATGTCATCTGTTTGTAACCACTGTTTTCCTGTTTTGTGTTTTTATTATTTATTTTTTTTCTGCAGGTGCCAGGTTACAGACAGGAACAGGTGGAGAAGGGCCTAAAACTGTTTGGACAGCTTATCAACAACAAGGTTTTCCTGCTGTCCTTCATCCGAACTCTTGAGTCTCAGAGAGGCTTCTCCATGCGAGACCGCGGCAACGTCGCCTCCTTGATCATGACCGTTTTGCAAAGTAAACTAGAGTATGCTACGGACGTGCTCAAACACCTGCTGTCTGACCTCATTGACAAGAACCTGGAAAGCAAGAACCATCCCAAACTCTTACTCAGAAGGTACAAGACACATTGCACATGAAGAGCCATCTAAAAAATCTAGTCCTGCAGTCCATTGTGTTTTACTGATTATAAATACCCCTCAAGTGTTCTCAATGTTCTAAATTTTGGGATCATTTCAATCTGCCTGATTCTAATTATAGTCAACTTCATAGACAAGAGCAGATGACCTCTGTGAATTGTCTTTCATACGTGGACTCTGCAGTACACTGAATGGGAATAATTGCATTTGGGGACTCAAAATGCACACTTTCTCCCCCAAACATGTAACCCACTGACATGCTCATCATTAAATGGTAATTAGGATTAATTAGTTTGAGATCCAATTAACAGTGCACTAAAAAACTACTGAATATAGGGAGATATGTGAACCTCAATTCCCCATGCAATCAACTCCTTTGTATCTCTGTATTCTAACAGCATAGAGGACAATATTATTACTATACCATATTGATTTTTCTCCACTCTCCGCTCATTTGAAAACTTCTAATGTTTCTTAAATTTTTCTTAATGTTCTAGCAATTGATTTGTAAAGTTTGTTGTCTGACACTTCTGATATTTTTGCTATTTGAAACTACTGTTCTGAAAAAATAGTGCTTTCAGAGCAAAATAATGACATGGATTACAAAATTTAAATTATGTATTGGTCAAAACAAGCTTGCTAATAGCGATAGGCTGATCATGTAACTACAAGAGGAGCTCACTGAATCATAACTGATTCAACACCCTTGATGGCAGGCATGATTAATTGAAACAAGTGAAGGGAAGATTAATTGCATAAAGACCTGCTGTACATATTAACGGTGGAAAATAAAAGAGATTTTTCTTTGTTTCAGTCAGGCTTCTGTCAGAAACAAAACCAACCATGTCACCTTTTTGTATGCACCTGAAACATCTGCACTTTAAGATGGATGTCTGCTACAATGTCCCATCATGACCTGTAGTCCAGTGGCTCTCAACGGGTTTTGCTTCAGGTTCCAGATTCAACATAATACAAAAATTATTTATTTTATACAAATTATCATTAAAATGAAACACTGACATTTATTAAAATCACCATGGACTGCTTAGACCCAACGATATGCAAAAATAGTATTTGTTTATGTTGGGTTCTTTGTATTTGTTAATTTTTGGGTTGTGATCCTCCAGATGAGAAGCACTGTTTTAGTCCATATCTCTCAATGGATTAGACCCTTATGGGTATATAGAGTGATCTTCACCACATGGAACCTGTCTGACCTCCAGCACCTGCTTAGCAAAGCACGATACAGAGCACTGGGCCAGAACAGAGAAGCTTAATCTGTTGTCTGAGAATAATTTTCTCATCCTTGTCTCTCTTTCACTGCATGATTTCTAAATCTGTGTTTAAAATGCAGAGAAGCAGGACATCTTTGGCAGAAGCCTCCAACCAGCTTTCATTTCCCCATTTCCAAGAAAGCACTTGCGACGGCCGCCCCATCTGTCCAGCCTCAACCTGAGTTCACAAGCACACACAGGCTAACTAACGTCTCGGTTACGTATGGTAACCCTTGTTCCCTGAAGGAGGGAA